ATTTAAAGATGGAGTTGATGGACCTATGTCTTATTTTTGGAATTACAGTAGTTTGGTTGTTCAAATGACCACACAAAGGCCTTCCATTCGTGAAAGTAGATACTCCAGGGTATCTCATATGGCATATATTGTGCCTTAAGATGTCGTCATTTTTTTTATTGTTATATGTCAAAATCTGTGTAAAAAATATTTTTAACATTTTTTACTTAACCCCTTAAGGACCAAACATCTGGAATAAAAGGGAATCATGACATGTCACACATGTCAGGTGTCCTTAAGGGGTTAAACATTACCTTTGTGCTGGGCATTATGTACATTTGATATGTTCCACTGTGATTAAACACACCTAATTATGCTCAGCTAACTCTTCTGAGTCAAATAATGCCTCCAATGTAAGTTTTTGACGCTATTACATGATGCTACAGTGCCATATAGGAGACCTGACTATTTCAGTTTTTACAGTAGAATTTTGAGAGATAAATAGGTTTATGGCTCATTTTGTGGTCTAATAGCAGGTTGCTTATTCAAACTTCCCCCACAAAGGCCTACCATTTTTTAATGAAAACACCCCAGTGTATTTCAAAAGGCCCATTTTTAACCTTCGAGTGGGATAATTTTGTAGCTAGTTTTTACCAAGTCTAGTAGTAGTACGCATTTTCTTTGCCTTTTTGACACACACTTTGAGATTTCACTGCATAGTTTGCAATCCCTACGTGTGCTACGGCAGTATAAGCTTCATATGTTACTCAACTATGTCGTCTGAGTACAGTAATAACCCAGCATGTACATTTCACAGGTAGATTTGAGACTCAGTCATTTAAGGATTTTTTCAAACTTTGAATTTTGACGCTGGATCCATGTTGGGACATTTTAGCAGGTTGCTGTAACAGGCAAATATTAATGGGTCAAAATCTGAGGCACTGTCTGTCACCTCTGAATCTGCTGTCAGAATTCTCTAAGCCTCCTCGGCACTTAACTTCCTAAGCATTTTGAACTTTTTATACAAGAACTTTACCAAAACAATGTTATAATATTTTTTAAATTTTCTAATTTTTTTTGTGGATTTTTTTAATTTGTCTTTTTACCCCCTAGCATATGCACTAAACTCCCCAAATTTCCCATGAGCTATCATCCACCCCAATTAACTAAATACAAGAAGAAAGAAAATAGTCAGCGGTCAGATAACAGAACTACAACAAACATATTAATTGTATTGAGAAGTTATTGGCCCTGAATATGAAATACTTAAAGCATTTCCCAATACAAAGGCCCGGCTGAGAGGGACAATCAGGACAGTAAAAACTGGTCTCCGTTCGAACGCCCATCTGGTAACACACCCTGCACCTTTTCTGGGGGGTCTCTTTGGGGGGAACAGTGGTATCCAAAAGCAGAAGTGAGCTGTCTGAATACCTCTGCGGCTAGGTCCTGCTGCTGGCTCCCCACTGTGGCAGCACAGAAATTTGCTGAAACTGAAATGTAAGAAAATTACATTTCAGCTGAGGATTTGCCTTTTTAAAAAGATTAATGCATGGTGAGTAGCCATTTGCATTAAATAAATGCCCACTTATACCAGGCCAGGCCCATGGCTGCAGCAGTTGATCAGGCAGGTCAACTTCCCGTATGTGTTTATTGTATTGCTTAATGAAGACAGGCAGCCGCCTTGTTTCCTGTCTGCATTCTGTATGTTCACTGTGCTTGGTAGTCAGGATGAACACCTCCTTTTTGTCTTTGTATTTCAGAGCCAGCAGTTCGTCCTGGCAGAGAGCAGCTGTTTCCCCATTTTACATTTTTTTTCTCTGCCAGAGCCTTTGGGAAGCCAGTGCGTGTCTTGGAGATAGTGCCGCAGACCACAGTCTCAAAACAAAATAGCACTTTTTTGAGGGTGCCAGATACTGTGATACAATCTGCCCTAAAAATTCATCCCCAAGGAACAGCTCCATAAAATCCTGGGAGCTATGTCACAGTGAACACAGGGATGTCGGGCACAAAATTGTTAGGGGGCACCCAGTTATCAGCGCCAGGAGCAGTGCCAGGGGAATCATCACTTTCTTCATCTGTGTCTTGTACATAGTCATCCACTGCAGTCTCTGAGGCAGTGTCAGTGCCTCAAAGTTGGACACTAATATATTATATACCTCCTCGGCACTAAACCTTCTAAGCATGGTAAAAGCTTAAAATTAACTTTGACTAAATAACGTATTTTATTTATTTTTTTAACTTTATTTATTTTATTTTTTTCTGAATTTTTAATACTTTTTTCATTTTTTTAAAACTCTTACAAATTTTCTAAAACTTTTCAACCCTGACTACCCTAACACTAGATTTCCCCAATTTCCCCCTAGCTTCCATCCATCCCAACTAACTAAATAACTTAAGAAATTAAATGAATGTAACCCCTTAGGGTTAAAAAAAATTATTTTAAAAATTAACCCCTGCCGGTAAAAACAGAAACCAGATCAACACTAAACACAGTGCTTACACATAGCAAATCAGAACTGCTTTGACTTTTTTTGATCAAAATCAAACAACTAATCACTTGTCATTCCACAAGAGTCATATATAAAATTACTTGCCCATGCAAACTAACATATATAGGAAGAACCATCAGGACACTAAGCACACGAATTCAGGAACATATAAGAAATATAAAAAATGGCTTTGAGAAGCATAGTGAAAAACATAACTGTGATCCCCACTTTTTGGAATTTATGGGAATTCAAAGAGTCTCTGTAAATTGGAGAGGAGGTGACTTAAATAAAACCATAGGACAAACAGAGATGAAATGGATTTTCAATTTGAATACGATGCAACCACATGGACTAAATGATGACTTTGAAATATGTCATTTTTTTTATAGAGCTATTTTTTATAGAGGTATTTTTAATTATATGTTATTGTTATAATAAACATCTACATCATTTTCATTTTTAATTATTTTAAATTTTAGAATATAGATAACTAAATTGTGTCCTTTTTATCAATATATTTATGACGTCATCATCACAGTCACACCAATTGCACCTTTAAGAACATCCCATAATGATATATGCACATATCCACTTTATAACATCTATGTTTAATGGATCCATATATATGATTTTTAGCATGTAAGCACTGTGCCACTTTATTTTTTTTTCCCTTTATGAGTACTACATAATCCATGTTCCATTCCTGTTATTTTATTATTATGTTATGCCGAGGACAATATTATTCAGGAACATCCCTTGAGACTTGATGAATATTGGACTATCTATGAATACTCCTTTTCCATCATATTGCCTTTAAGAAAAATGGCGGACGTTATTTCAAGAAATGACATGCACACTTCACGGTCGGAGGTCTGAGAGGATATTCCAGACACGTGATTATCTAGGTAGAGCATTATCAATGTGGGACGGACATATACACGCCACCTATCTTTGGACGTTGTTTACTTCCGCATGTGACGTCACACACACGAGCTTTCGTGCGTGATGACCTCACAAGATAGGAAATATCATTCACAGCTGAGCCCCAACACTCCCACCGATACGAGCGCCATGATTGGATGTATCACGGACGCCATTTACCAATCAATTCCCCTCTATGGGATATTTAAATTCGAACTAGCAGCATTTTCAATTACCAATTGATAAAGCCGAATATACAGGCGAAACGCGTCTTGGACTCATCACCAGCACTTAAGTATATTGATTTTATTGTTTTATAGTATAGTTACAATAAATGTTATTTTTTTACCAAGAAGTCTGGTGAAACATCTATGCTGCTTAAAGAAGGGCTGTGTCACTCTAATTTGTGTCACTCTAATTTGACACAATATCTACACATTTGGAGCCCAGTTATAGGCTCCTGATAAGGTGAGAATAACATTTTTATTTATATTCTGCACTTTATTATAATCAAGGATTTCTGCACCAGGGTTGAGGTTTTCGCCTAATATGGGCGTTTAGGGTGTGTGTGACGAAGTGCCCTTCGCCACTTGTGCCTGGAGAGGACTGCTTGCCCGCCTCTTGCCCTGTGACTATGGCCCCTGGTTTGTATTGCCCTTTAAAGACATGATTTGGGCATAATGGATTTGTGTTGTGCTGCTGCTGGCCCTTTAAGAACCATCTGGGGACATACTGTGGAGTTTCTGGGTGGCCACCATTTCCTGTATCAGAAGCACATGGTGAGAACAATGGATGGCGGCCATTTTAACTCACAGACACTGTTTGGACTTTTCAACACGGTGCCATCTCGCCAGTATTTGGTGCACAGAGACATCGTGCAGTGGTTTTGGACTATACAGCAGGGGACACATTATAAAGTGATTGTTTTTCATTTAGCCTGTATATGTTCTGCAGAATCTGCATTAAACTGTATTTTCCAAAGTACTGAACGGATCTGGGTGAATTTTGGATATGTGGTTCACCCAGATCCCCCGGTTCCAAGGATATACTTTTTATGGGGTTATTGCATGTTTTGGGGTCCCTGTGTGTTTTATGAAACTGTATTATTTCTGGCCAGCAGATAATTGAGCTTTGTGTATTGTAGAAACTCAATTATCTAGCCTGGCCCAGAGGAGGAGTTTTGTGTTGCATAAATTGTGAGTTCTGTGTGCCAGTAAATCAGTCTTGTTCCAGCATTAAGCCTTGGCTCATGTTTGGGGGAAGGGATACCTACACTCTGGGGATTGCTATAATCACTTACTCCCCAGAGGAAGCTCTTGCAATAGCTTGATTTGTTCCTGTTCCTGCTCTCTGGGGAAAGAGAGGTTCACCCACTGGAAGCTGGATCCTGGCCTTGGGTCCAGGGTGGGTGGAAACAGCAGAGACCCCGGCGCAGTTGCATCGCTGGAAGTGGGGTCTGCAGTGCTGATGGTGTCGGTTGGAGTGCTTGGAGTCCTCAGCGAGCACTAGGAGCATCGATTGGCGGAGGTACTCAGTCGGAGTGCCAGCGTTCCGTCACATTTGGTGGCAGCGGTGGGATGGCGTCCTAGTGCGAGGACCAGCAGCTCGGAGACACCGGTAACGTGTGGAGTTACGGATTTATAATTGAGGGCAACGCTAGCACTTGTGCAGCGACCCTGGCTTCAGAGGAACTCAAGGGATAGAGCTAGCTACGGGCAGCGTCCCTATCCACAGCAACATGGAAGAGGAGTTTCGCTGGAGGTTGCAGCAGCACTTGGCCCAACAGGATGGGCCTGTATCAGAGGAGTGCATACTGGACTGGAGAGATGTCACTCGTACGGAGATGTGGCACGATGCCCTGGAAAAGGTACAACGGCGGCGGGGAGAGAGCCTTCCCAGTGACGAGCAGCGGTTCCAGGTACTCGAGGCCCTGCGCTCCCCTTTCCTAGGGGAGCAACCCTTGGATGAATGGTTGTTGGAACTCTGGGATTTAATTTGGAAGGAGTTGTGGCTAGATGCAGCTTACCGGGCATTAAAGTGGTACGCCACCCAGCGCAACCCCTCGATGACTAACCACTATCTGCCCGAGGGAGAGGATTATAATGGCCCGGGCTTACTGTGGGAGGCCTATGAGGAGGGCGATGACTTTGGATGCCCCACAGAGTTTCGGTTCTGGGACATCCACAACATCAGGGAAACCCTGCTGGATCTTCCCCGAGCGGACGACCTGGGGCCAGACCTGAGTCATCTGGTCGCAATGGAGTGGGGGCTGGAGCAGAGCTACCGACGCCTGTTCAACTTAGCCCAATCACCGTCCCTCGGCCCAGAGGATTACCTGGACACCCTACCCTCTTCTGTCCAACCAGCCCCAGAGGTGAGCAACCTTATGGAACGGTCCTGGGAAGACCCACAGATGGCAGGTGGAGATGGAACCGAGGTCTCTCCACCTGCCCCACAGGGATGCTGGGTACCCGGCCCAGATCCCCAGCGGCAGTGTATCTCACAGGGAGAGGAGACAACCGGTCTCCCTTCCCAGCAGCAGCCTGAGTTCCAGGAGGAGGTGATGGTAGATCCCTCCCCCATACAGCAACCAGCGTCCTGGGGAGGGGAGGCAACCGGCCTCCCTCTCCTCCACCAACCAGAGGTACCTGAGGTAGTGGACCTCATAGACGTGTCCTGGGGACACACAGAGATGGCAAGCGGAGATGGGACCGAAGTCTCTCTGCCAGCCCTACAGGGATGCTGGGCAGTCAGCCCAGGTCCCCAGCGGCAGCATAATATACAGGGAGAGGAGACAACTGGTCTCTCTCCCCAGCGGCGGCCTGAGTTCCAGGAGGAGGTGATGGTCGATCCCTCCACCTTACAGCAACCAGCGTCCTGGGGAGTGGCGGCAACCAGCCTCCCCCTCCAACAGCAGCCAGAGATACCGGGAGAGGGGGAAGACAAACCTAACCACACTGGCGCAGATGGGACCGCGGTCTCTGTGCCAGTCCTACAGGGAGGCTGGACGGGCGGTCCAGATCCCCAACCAACCCCGCAGGGATGCCAGGAGGAGGAGGTAAGCGAAACTTCCCCTCCCCAGCTACATCCCAACCGGGTCCTGGGGGCAGTGGATGAGCCTGCGATACCCACTGACCCCCTCCCAGCAGAAGAGCTGGCCTCTGGGCAGAGCTCTGTTAGCCTCTGCCCCCCCTTTTCCCCTGTATCAGAGCCTGACTTACCACGGGTTACCCCAGTGGAAGAGCTGGCAGCAGGGCAGAGCGCCGCTGGCCTCTGCCCCCCAAGCAACACCAGCAGTTTGCCTAGCTGCACCAGGGAGACCGAGAGTGCTGCGCTGTCCCACTACAAACTTGAACCTACAGGCCAGTACCATTTATTGTGGGGGGGTTACTCTGTGTATTTTTCTTTGTGGGTGGGCTGCCCGACTAATCTAGGTACTGACCGGCAGAAGGTCAGGTACCTGTTTAGTCTTCCCCCCAAAGGGAAGATGTGTGACGAAGTGCCCTTCGCCACTTGTGCCTGGAGAGGACTGCTTGCCCGCCTCTTGCCCTGTGACTATGGCCCCTGGTTTGTATTGCCCTTTAAAGACATGATTTGGGCATAATGGATTTGTGTTGTGCTGCTGCTGGCCCTTTAAGAACCATCTGGGGACATACTGTGGAGTTACTGGGTGGCCACCATTTCCTGTATCAGAAGCACATGGTGAGAACAATGGATGGCGGCCATTTTAACTCACAGACACTGTGTGGACTTTTCAACACGGTGCCATCTCGCCAGTATTTGGTGCACAGAGACATCGTGCAGTGGTTTTGGACTATACAGCAGGGGACACATTATAAAGTGATTGTTTTTCATTTAGCCTGTATATGTTCTGCAGAATCTGCATTAAACTGTATTTTCCAAAGTACTGAATGGATCTGGGTGAATTTTGGATATGTGGTTCACCCAGATCCCCCGGTTCCAAGGATATACTTTTTATGGGGTTATTGCATGTTTTGGGGTCCCTGTGTGTTTTATGAAACTGTATTATTTCTGGCCAGCAGATAATTGAGCTTTGTGTATTGTAGAAACTCAATTATCTAGCCTGGCCCAGAGGAGGAGTTTTGTGTTGCATAAATTGTGAGTTATGTGTGCCAGTAAATCAGTCTTGTTCCAGCATTAAGCCTTGGCTCATGTTTGGGGGAAGGGATACATACACTCTGGGGATTGCTATAATCACTTACTCCCCAGAGGAAGCTCTTGCAATAGCTTGATTTGTTCCTGTTACTGCTCTCTGGGGAAAGAGAGGTTCAACCACTGGAAGCTGGATCCTGGCCTTGGGTCCAGGGTGGGTGGAAACAGCAGAGACCCCGGCGCAGTTGCATCGCTGGAAGTGGGGTCTGCAGTGCTGATGGTGTCGGTTGGAGTGCTTGGAGTCCTCAGCGAGCACTAGGAGCATCGATTGGCGGAGGTACTCAGTCAGAGTGCCAGCGTTCCGTCACTGTGTGATTCACCTTAAGGACACAAAAGCGGATGAGATCTTGTATTGTACTTTATTCTACCATAAGCGCCTTTAATCACAGAATATTCACCCCATTTTAAATATATTTAACCCCTGAGGGTTAAAAAAAAATCTCTAATCACAGTAAAGTACTGTGATCAGTATTGTGATCACTGCTGTCAGTGATCAACGGGTTAATCCCTGGTAAATTTTCTATCAGGAATGGTTAAAGGGGTTTTTGCTACTTTATAACACTTTTGTGTCTGTCAGGGACACAAAGTTGCACACAATCCATCTCTCATTCCTGGGCTACCATACGCTCTCAAAGGCAACGTAACCAACCTGGCCATTTTCAATGTAAAAATATTTGACCCATATATTTGACCCTGTAACTTTCAAAAATGCTATAAAACCTGTACATGGGGGGTACTGTTTTACTCGGGAGACTTTGCTGAACACAAATATTAGTGATTCAAAACAGTAAAACATATCACAGCGATGATATTGTCAGTGAAAGATACTTTTTTTGCATTTTTCACACACAAACAGCACCTTTACTGATGATATAATTGTTGTGATACGTTTTCCAGTTTTTAAACACTAATATTTGTGTTCAGCGATGTCTCCCGAGTAAAACAGTACCCCCCATGTACAGGTTTTATAGCATTTTTGAAAGTTACAAGGTCAAATATATGGGTCAAATATTTTTACATTGAAAATGGCCAGGTTGGTTACGTTGCCTTTGAGAGCGTATGGTAGCCCAGGAATGAGAATTACCCCCATGATGGCATACCATTTGCAAAAGAAGACAACCCAAGGTATTGCAAATGGGGTATGTCCAGTCTTTTTTAGTAACCACTTAGTCACAAACACTGGCCAAAATTAGCGTTCAATTTAGTTTTTAACTTTTTTCACACACAAACAAATATGAATGCTTACTTTGGCCAGTGTTTTCAACTAAGTGGCTACTAAAAAAGACTGGACATACCCCATATTGAATACCCTGGGTTGTCTACTTTAAAAAAAATATGTTCATGTGGGGTGTTATTCAGAGATTTATGACAGATAATAGTGTTACAATGTCACTATTGATAAATTTAAAAAATGTATGTTTTGAAACCGCAATATCCTACTTGTACCTATAGCCCTATAACATGCAAAAAAAAGCAAAAAAAGCTCGTAAACACTGGATATTTTTAAACTCAGGACAAAATTTTGAATCTATTTAGCAGTTTTTTTCCATTCGCTTTTGTAGATGAGTAAAAGATTTTTCAAGTAAAAGTCAAAAAACATGTATTTCTTTCAATTTTTCATCATTTAGTTCATTTTTTTAAAATTAAAATACATGAGATTATATAAATAATGGTATGTAAAGAAAGCCCCTTTTGTCCTGAAAAAAACCCAATATATAATTTGTATGGGAACAGTAAATGAGAGAGCGGAAAATTACAGCCAAACACAAACACCACAAAAGTGTAAAAATATGCCTGGTCGCAAATGTACAACATCGAAAAAACAGTACAGTCCTTAAGGGGTTAAATAAGAAAAATGCAATTTAAATGAAAACAACTCTCTCTCTCTCTCTCTCTCTCTCTCTCTCTCTCTCCACCAACCTTTAATAAGTATGATTAGGGAGAATTAGTGTTGCCACCTCGGCTCCCCTCCGATGGCATACATCCAATGTAGTAAAAACCAAAGTTACCTGCACTCTTCTTAAATACCTATGTATATTTAAATAAATGGAGGATATTTGGTTACTCCAATGGCCATGAGGGGGGATGCCCACCTGCCACGTCAAGGCAAACCTCTTAGGTGGGTCCTACACTGACTATTCACCCTGCTTCCAGGAGCTTCTGGCAAAGATATCTCTAATGAGACAGAGAGTGGTATTTTTATAAACCCCTACATGCTTTTTAATCCTTAATAGGGAACACATGGGGTGGGCGGCAGCATTGTAACCTAGCTGTGTGATACAAAAGTGAATACAAATACACAAAAACAAGTCCTGCGCTCAAACTCCCACTACACTTGGGTGGTTTTGTATTGGGGTTGATGTGTACTATGGTCGCTGATGCAGCTCAAGAGTAGTGGGAGTTTGAGCGCAGTACTTGTTTTTGTGTATTTATACATCCAATACACACACATATCTGATATTAGCCAGAACAGGAATCTTGTTCTTGTGACTGACTAAATATACCCCAATTATGCAGTATCTCCAGTGTTTGATATTGAAATACTGCAAATACAGACTCCAGGCACCATGACCACGTAAACCTTCATGGCACAACCTTTTAAATTGGTGAAATGTATGAGACAAAAGAGATACACTTTGGGTTTTTACTTCTTTACAAAATTGCAATATTCATATAATGTTAACTCACAAAACTACAAGTAGGATTTTCAATC